GGGGGGGGGGGGGTGTTGAGATCTTGTCCCCTGGCATATTCATCATTTTGGCTCAAATAAGCTCCTATAAAAATTTTTTAAAATAATAATAAAATGAAGAAGCAGGAGGAACATTTAAGGAGTAAATGTGGTTTGAACTTCCCCTTAAGAGCAGGTGGGATTTGGTGGCCAGAGAGAAAGTCCTTAGAGGCAGGGGAAACAGCCAGATCAAATGCTCAAGGTCAAAGATGTGTGTAGATAGGGAAGGCCTCACTGCAGAGAGCTTCCAGGGATGCTCACCATCTTCCCATCTTCTCCTCTCCCCGTGTCCTCCCAACAGGAGAAGGCCCTGGCTTCCTCCAGCCCCCAGTGGAGCCTGGACCGGTGAGGAGGCCCAAGCACTTTTGACAGTGGGGCTGTCTGGGTGACCTACCTCCATCTTTGGGTGGGGGTGGGGGTTGCTGCTGCTTTGCCCAGATGCTTTGGAGGGTCTCCATGGTGACAAGCCAGGCTTTCACTGTGCAGGAGCCGTACACCCCGGGGACTAGATGATGAACTGGACACTGGGGATGCCAAGTTCTTCCAGGTCATCGAACAGCTCAACTCTCAGAAGTATGGAGAACAGAAGAGGGCTGGGAGGGCTGGAGGCCCTGGGCTCCTGTGGTAGGGCAGGGGTGGTGCTCCCGCTGATGACCTGGAGGGAAGGGAGGGTCTTTCCTGCTCCAGCCTGAGGAAAGACTCACCTGACCATTCCCTCCTGCCCTGCTCTTTCCTCTCTGGGGCTCACTGCCCCCCACCCTCCCACCAGACAGTGGAAGCAGTCAAAGGACTTCAACCCACTGACCCTGTACTTTCGAGAGAAGGAAATGGAGAAAGAGGTGGGCTGCGCATGGTGGCCGGTGGGGGGGGGCATCAGAGGATGCCCTGTGGTCCCATCTCCCCTCCCCAGGGCTGCTCAATTTGTGATCCTGGAGGTGATGGAGGGGCTTGTGTTTCTCTCTAAAAGGAAAGTCTCCCCGTAGATTGAATTACTGAGTGGTGATGGGAGAGGGGAGGGCAACTCCTTGGAGAACCCATAGCTGCTACCTGGGACTGAACTGAAGGACCGGACCGTGAGGCTGGGGGACCCACTCCTTGCCTGAGATTGATACCTTCAAGCTCATGAGCAGCACTAGTGACCCTGTCTCCACCCTGACCCCCTCCCTTCCAGTATCGACTCTCTGCACTCCCCGCCTTCAAATACTACGCAGCCTGCACCTTCCTGGTTTTTCTCTCCAACTTCATCATCCAGATGCTGGTGACAAACAGGTAAGAGAGCCCCAGAAAAGGAAGCCCTGACTTTCAAACAATGGACCCTCTTGTTCTTTCTGATCCCCGAGGCCCACTTTCTTCTTTTGCCTACTTTTCCTTGGCACTAACCCACAGAGGAAATGGAAATATGTGTTCTGGGAACCATGATAATCACCGCTCCCAACTTACTGTCATACATCCTGTGGATTTTCTACATCCTGTGGACCCGAGCATTTTCACATGCCTGTCTCTTGATTCTAACAACATTCCCATGAAGGAGGTTTCCTTCAGTGGGAGGTTTTCTTCCCACTGAGAAGCCCAAATCTCATAGTAAACAAACATAGAAAGTAGGTCCTCACTCCCAGTCCACTGCTAGGAGGGGTGAGGACTTATTTAAAACTCAGCCAGGCCCTATCCGGTTTGGCTCGGTAGTTAGAGCACTGGCCTGCAGACCTAAGGGTATCTGGTTCAATTCCCAGTCAAGGGCAGGTACCTTGGTTGCAGGTTCAAACCCCGTCCCCAGTTAGGGGTGTGCAGGAGGCAATCAACCAATGTGTCTCTCTCACGTCGATGTTTCTCTCTCTCTCTCCTTCTCCCCCTCCTTCCACTCTTTCTAAAAATCAATGGAAACCCTCAGGTGAAGATTTTTTAAAAAACAACAACCACTCAGCCAGGTGAAAGAGCTTTGGTCCGAAGGCCAGGAGACCAATCTGATGCAGCCTCAGCTGCTTTTGTGAGGCCCCTGCCCCCTGCCAATATTGTTCCTACCTTATTAGTTCCTGTCCTCCCCCAAACACTGCTCTAGACCACTCGGCTTTCCCATGTCATCATGTAATGTCTTTTATCAGCCTAGACCCCACTGGCAGCCAGTTCAGATCCCCAGAACCACTTCTCCCCATGTCTTCCAACCAGAAGATATAGCAACCCTCCCGCACACAGGGAGCCTACTGTTGTTCTTCAAGGCCTCACTCTTGTCTCCCTTTAGGCCCCCAGCTCTGGCCATCACCTATAGCATCACCTTCCTCCTCTTCCTCCTCCTCCTCTTCGTCTGCTTCTCAGAGCACCTGACGGTGAGGTGGGCTGTGGGGCGGAAGTGGAGAGCTGGGGCTCTGACCATGATCTGCTCCTGTCCCATGGCTAAGACTCCCATGCTCTTTCCACAGATGTGTGTCTTGAAAGGCCCTAAGATGCTGCACTGGCTGCCCACACTGTCTGGCCTGGTGGCCACACGGCCCGGACTGCGAGTTGCCCTGGGCACTGCCACCATCCTCCTCATCTTTACCATGGCCATTACCAGCCTGGTGAGGGCAGAGGGGGCCCTATGCACCCCCATCAGGGCATGCTGAGCCTGCCAAGGCTGAAAGGGGACCCTTGGATTTGGGAGGACAGCTAGACTAAGGCCAGGGGATGCTGAAACTGTTGGACAAGTAATGAAAAAAATGACAGTCACCCACGACCTACCATCTGGGCATAATCATTGCTAACACTATGGTGGACATCCTTCCTATCTTTTTTTTTTTTTTTAATGTAGGCAGTTCATCATTACTTAGCTCACTCACTATAATTTTGTAGTAGAGTTTGGCTGATTTTTCAGAACTTAGAATCGTTCCTAGAATTCTATCCCTGAAAGGCACCTGAGGAATCACCCCCCAGCCAAGAAGAAGAAACTCAGGCCCGAAGAGGTTGAGTGGCTGGCAAGAGATCACACAGTGGATCCTTGGCAGTCTAGTGCTCATGACACCCACTCCCCTAATCCCTGCTCACCCCCACCAGTGAGGGCCCTCACCAACCAGAAATAATGGAATCTGCTCCTTTGGAGGAGTCTGGCCCTGACTTATTGCTGGGTCAGCTGAAACCCAGCACAAGCCACCATTGTGCCCAAGGAGCTGTCTGACAACCTCAGCTTCTTGTCTCCTTCTGCAGTTCTTACCAGCAACATCGAACTGCCATTTTCAGGCTTTCAATGTGTCCTCCATGAATTTCAACCTCTCCTGGGAGCTCCCTGGGTCCCTGCCTCTCATCAGCATTCCAGTGAGTGTCCTGAACAGCCCTGAATCTCCTTCTCCAGAACTTTCCTTGGTTCCTCCCCTACCTCCTGAATTGAAGAACACTCCATCCTGTGAATTGGGACAGACATAAGTCACATCTGGTGTGTGTTTGTGCATATGACACCACCTGCCTCCTAGATAGGACCCGGGAGGGATAGAACAGGGGCCCTCAGGTATCTCCCTACCCCTGCCTATAGGACATGTCCCACCTCCTGACCAGCCTGCTTGGCCCCACAGTACTCCATGCACTGCTGCGTGCTGGGTTTCCTCTCCTGCTCCCTTTTTCTGCACATGAGCTTCGAACTGAAGCTGCTGCTGCTCCTGCTATGGCTGGTGGCCTCCTGCTGCCTCTTCCTGCACTCCCACGCCTGGCTGTCCGACTGCCTGGTCGCCCGCCTCTATCTGGGCTCCTTGGACTCCAGGTGCGCATGGCTGCTGGAGAAGGGTGCCCGGGCCCTCTGGGACTGGGTGAGATGGGACAGGGCAGAACTGTCCTCACTTCCCTGACCTGAACTACCCACAGGGCAAAAGCAGGAGGGAGGCCGAGGACTCGATAGGCACTAGGGGCAGGGGGAGGCCATGGTGAAGGGACAGGACAGGAGACAACCCTGATCATGGCCTCTTCAGGCCAGGGGTGCTGAAGGAACCCAAACTGATGGGAGCCATCTCCTTCTTCATCTTCTTCTTCACACTCCTTGTCTTGGCTCGGCAGGTAAGTCGCCCAGCTTGGCCTTCCAGGGCCGCCTTATGAAGGGTGTGGCGGAGGTCCCTGTATTTGTGACTTGGTCTCTCTTACCCTTTCCTTAATCTGGTCTCTCCAGGGTTGAGTCCAAGTGGTGTACCCATTGAAAGCTTCTAAGCCAAATCTCTTATCCACTTTCTTTCTCCTTTGCTCCCTAAGGAGAGTGCCCTCAAATTTTCTCCTCCCTCTTCCCTCCTCCCTCCCACTACCAATCTAGGAAATCCCATGCTTAAGAAAAAAGTTGCTGTCAATTCTTCCCACCCTACTTTGAATCTAGTTTCAAGGTAGTCTCCCCAAGGCTAGTTGCATGTTAAGCTTTATCTCTAAACTGTGAGGTGGGGTGGTTTTAGGCATCATGGAATCGGGGGGTGGGGTGAACACTCAGGATCTGCTGTTTCCCCTGTACTCTGTCTCCCCATGGCCCCCGGTAACCCTCTCCAGAATGAGTATTATTGCCGCCTGGATTTCCTGTGGAAGAAGAAGCTGAGGCAGGAGCGGGAGGAGACAGAGATGATGGAGAATCTGACTCGGCTGCTCTTGGAGAATGTGCTCCCTGCACATGTGGCCCCCCAGTTTATTGGCCAGAACCGGCGCAATGAGGTGACTCTCTAGCCCTGACTCCTGAGCTTCAGACACCATAGGAACTAATTTTGGATGAAAGCCTTGGCCCTTAGCCCAGCTTCTCTAGACTCCCCAAGCTCCTCCATATCCCTGTCAGGTGCCTCCTATTTTCACAAGATCTTAGGCTCTGTTTTTGGTGAGCATAGAATCTCTGTGTTCCAAATTCTTAGAAAGAGTGTCCTCTCTAATCCATCACCACTCCATACTTTCAGAGCCTTTGTCAGGTGTTGAGGAGAGTTGTCTGGAGGACACAGTCCACCCATCTTTCTAGACTGTATGGTAGCCATTAGCCATGTGGGGTCATTTAACTTCAAATTAATTAAATGGAAAATTCATGCAACAACATGGATTGACTTAGAGGATACTATGCTAAGTGAAATAAGTCAGACAGAGAAAGACAAATACCATATGATTTCATTGATATGTAGAATCTAAAGAACAAATGACAAACAAAACAGAAACAGACTTACAGATACAGAGAACAAACTGATGATTGCCCAGATGGGAGGGGACTTGGGGGACTGGGTGAAAAAGGTGAAAGTATTAAGATGTACAAATAAGTAGTTACAAAATAGTCATGGTGATGTAAGGTACAGCATATGGAATATAGTCAATAATATTGTAATAACTATGTATGGTGCCAGGTGGAGACTAGACTTATTGGGGGAATCAGTTCATAAATTACATAAATGTCTACCCCATGCTGTACACTTGAAACTAATATAAAATAATATTGAATGTCAACTGTAATTGACAAATTTTTAAAAAACAGGTGAACCTGAGAAATCTTAGGCCTCCACTTTTAACCCCAATGAAAGCAGAATCCTAGGCCCAGGCCCATGGGCTCTGTCTCTCTCTCTCTACCCATGACCTCGCTGTGTGGCCTCAGGTGTGCTGTGTAATTTTCAGGTCTTTAGGTAAACCTGTATCAAAAGGAAGAGAGAGAGGGAGTAGGGAGAGAAAGAAAGAAAATTCAGTTCTTCAGTCATACTGGCCTCATTTCATGTGCTCAACAGCTGCATGTGGCTAGTGGCCACCATACTAGACAGCACATATATGGAACATTTCCATCACCACAGAAACTTCTAGTGCATGATGCTGCTCTAGATCCTCAAATATCTTGCTACAGTCAGCTCATCAGAAGGTCACCCACATATTTGTACCATCTTACTTGTACCACTACCACTTCATCTTCTGCTATGGAAATGCTCTTGGCCTGTATTGAGGGGTGTTGAAAGAAACAGTCCAGGGCCTCTTTCACAGCAATATGCCCCACCAGCTGCTCTCTGCTCTCAAGATCAGAAGTAGCTCTATTTCTGGTTTCTTCTCTTATAGACACTGTGTATCTTGTAACTGATCCTATTTCTGTGTCCACATTGGCTCTAGAAAGCTCCGAGTAAGAATCTAGGACTAACATGGCATCCATTTAGCCAACCAATCTCAGATCTGATTTCATCTTTTCTTCACCATCTTACCTTTATTTTCTCTTTGCCTCATTTTCCCTATTATTGCTTTTTATTTTTTTTCTTGCAAATTGTAGATCTTTATAAGTGGATTTAACTCACTTAACACCTTTTGGCAATAGATAGGATATAAAGATAATTCCCATTGACATGGTCCCAGTTCTAGAGGTGACTCCTTTTACGTTGCTGTGAGGCGATCTTGACCCCAAATCTCTGTCTCTCCTGGAATCACAATGAGACCCAATCTTTGACTTCTGAGTCGCATCCCTAGGGTAACTTGGCCCTCCTTCTCCCCTTCCTTCCTAATCCTTCTTAGTCAGAGGGAAAGGCATCGGGACACGAGGACAGGCAGGGGGAGACTATGGCTTAGTGCCTCACCCCAAGCTCTCACCCTCCCAGGACCTCTATCACCAGTCCTACGAGTGTGTTTGTGTCCTCTTCGCCTCAGTCCCAGACTTCAAAGAGTTTTACTCTGAATCCAACATCAACCATGAGGGGCTAGAGTGTCTGCGGCTGCTCAATGAGATCATTGCTGATTTTGATGAGGTGACAACTCCAAGGGTCCCCCAGATCCTATGTCTGGGATTCCAGAATTTCCCACCAGTCCCTCCTTCTACTTTGTTCTTCTGACCATGAGGCCCATTTTGCCCTCTCAAGGCTTCCCACTCCTTCTCTGATGCTCTAGCTCTGCCTTCTCCAGCAGCTCTGTTCACTACCAACGCCCTCCTGCCACCATCCCTGAGCACATAACTGATCCTTTAGCCTCCAAAGGCCTGGGGCTGGGCTTTGGGGAGAGAGGAGAGAGAAAGCAAAAGAGACAGGGGACACAGCCTCCTCTCTATACAGCTGCTTTCTAAGCCCAAGTTCAGTGGGGTGGAGAAGATCAAAACCATCGGCAGCACCTACATGGCAGCTACAGGTTTAAATGCCACCTCTGGACAAGATGCACAGCAGGTACAGCATTCCTTCCTTACCTACCAACTCTCACCTGGGCTCTCATTGGTGGGCCTTAATCCTGTGCCCTCATTGACCCATTCTGGTGGCCGGCCCATTGCCAGGATGCTGAGCGAAGCTGCAGCCACCTTGGCACCATGGTGGAATTTGCAGTGGCCCTTGGGTCTAAGTTGGACGTTATCAACAAGCACTCATTCAACAACTTCCGCTTGCGTGTGGGTAAGGGCATTCCCTTGCTGGGGCAGTCTAGGACCTCCTCCTCATCTTCCCAAGCTCTCCTTCCCCCAAGTCCTTTGTTAGCTGCTCCCCAGCTCAACCCTGTTCCTCCCTTCAGACTCACCCCTTGAGATGGAGCTTGAAGCTGCTTGGCCAGGGAGCTATGAGGCGCACCTACCCCCTTCCCTACACCACACTCCTCCAGCCCCACACTCCTTTCTTCTAAGGTCCCCAGACCCTTCTCCCTAGTTCCTTGAGCTTTTTCTTCCCCCACCCCCTCCTCAAATCTCTCCCATTTTTACCTCTTGTCAGGGTTGAACCACGGACCTGTAGTGGCCGGAGTGATAGGGGCCCAGAAACCACAATATGACATCTGGGGCAACACAGTGAATGTCGCCAGTCGCATGGAGAGTACAGGAGTCCTGGGCAAGATCCAAGTGAGGGAGCCACATTGGAGGCATGGGGGCAGTGGATAAGATTAAGGCCATCCCCATACTCCTTCACGCTCTTCTAATTGCAGGTGACTGAGGAGACAGCCCGGGCCCTGCAGTCCTTAGGCTACACCTGCTACAGCAGAGGTGTTATCAAGGTCAAAGGCAAAGGGCAGCTATGCACCTACTTCCTGAACACAGATTTGACACGAGTTGGACCTCCCTCAGCTACCCTAGGCTGAGAACCCATTCCCTACTCTTCACCTTGAAAATCCTCGATAAAGAGACTGGTATGTCTGGAGCCAATTGATGTCAGAAGCTGCTGGTATAGCTTCTGGGATCACCTCCTTGCCTCTCAGCAGGACTGCTTTTTCCCAGGCCAAATCATGTGTTTGTGTGTGTGCAAGCATGAGCATGACTGTGTGGAAGGGAGTGATTCTTTTCACAAGCTTGGGAAGAGAACTGCCTCAGCCTCCCTGCGTGCCTGTCAACCTGATTCTAGTATTTTGTAAACCTTGGAAGTATGAAGAATTTTAGCCACATGACTCAAAACAAGGACTTGTCCTTTCCCGTTCTCCATCCACAAATATTGGAAGGAATCTCAAGGAAAAATGTCATTTGACCTTTATTCATTCAACAAACACTAAATAAACACTTATTATCTGCTTACTATGCAGTGTGGGTGAGAGGCCTTGGAAATAATCTATTAGGTCCCTCCCCATTTCAGCTGTAGTTCTAAAATTGACCCACGATGCTTTCCAGTGAGGACCTGTAAGCAATTTGGGGTTTCACCTGTTCTCAGGCCCCTCAGATGCCCCCTTCCTTCCTTCTGCATCCTTCTGTTAATATTATGTGGGTCTCGAAACATCCACAGTTCATTCCCACTTTCTATATTTTGGGGTCCATGAGGGACATCTTGACATGTTAGCTTTGTTGCAGATGTTGCACATGTATTTTTTATTTCTCTCCTATTCGCTCTTTCTTTCTTTTTATGGAAAAGATTCAAAAAGTACAACACTGCCACTGCTGCTACCATCTTCCTAAAATACTGTCAGCATGGAGGCTCTAAGACAACAGTCATCCCTAGAAGGGAATGACTCATACCTTTCACTTTGGGGAACCTTAATTTCCTAAGGGTGACTAGGTCACAGAGTGCCCTCAGCTCCACCCTGTGCCAGAGTGTGTTCTGGGGGCTAGAAAATGCTGACATGAGTTCTAGGGGATAAGATCTGCTGACTTAGTTCTAAAGTGAGGCCTCCTTGGTAGATGGAGGGAAGGGAGGCAATCCTCTAGAATACCTCTCACTGAGAGGATGAAGGTTACTAGCAGGAAGTTGGAGTCATGGTAACAATGATAACTATCACTAGCCTGGGGGTAGAGGTCCCACAGCCGGTGCTAAATTTTCTCAGAAAGTGGGCCAAACCCAGTCTGGCGTGATGAACCCACATGGGTGGTCTTCCCTGGTCAGCTCCATCAGGAATCTGCAAGCCTGTGTTGTTCTCAGTATGATCTGCAAGCTACCTGCCTCCGAATAGAAGTTCATTTCTACGTCTGTCTTTGTGTCCCTTCCAAAATTGAAAATCATGGGAAACTAAAAAATGTGCCTCTCAACCGTCGCGACGGACCCCCATAAAGGCACCCAGGAGCACCCCAATCCCCCATAATACACATGTCCCACACACACGATTAACCCAATTTCAGACTTCAGTTTTAATTGCAAAGCCGCCCAGGCTCTGACTCTGCCCTTACTTGCCCCTCCCCTCCCTTTTCTTCCCCTCCACCCCCACACGCCTTCTGCTTTCTCCTCGAGGTGCAGAATTGGGTCAGGGCAGGGTGGGGTCATTCCACCAGGAAGAAAGCGAGTGTTCTTCCACCGCCACCCCTCCCCCCCGGGCGGCTTCGGTTCTCTTCACTGGAGAGGGTTGGTGGAAACAGTGAGGCTCTCGGCTGGGCCAGGCTCAGGGGGTGCCGGGGCGCCCTTCAACGTCTGGCCCAGGGTGCCCCCGCGCCGGGTGCTGGACGCCTCCGAGCCGGTGCCTTCCAAGAGCTTGGCGACGAAGCCCACGCCGGCCAAGCGCAGCAGGCTGCCCCCGGCGCACGCGTACAGCACGGGGTTCACGCTGCTGCTCAGGAAGGCCAGCGCGATCAGCACTCTGCGCGNCCCGCCGGCCCCGACGCGGCGGTCTTGCCCGCCAGCGCGCGCCCGGCCTCGATCAAGTTCACCGCGTGGTACGGCAGCCAGAACGCGGCGAAGGTGAGGATGATGAGCGCCACCAGGCGGCCGGTGCGGCGGCTGCGGCGGAAGCGCCGGGNNGGAAGCGCCGGGCGCGCAGCCGGCGCCCGATGTCGGAGTAGCTGGCCACCACGGCCAGGAAGGGCAGCAGGAAGCCGGTGATTGCCTCGAAGAGCAGGTGGAAGGCCTTTTGTCTCAAGCCGTCGTATTTTGGGAAGCAGACCAGGCTTTCGTTGGTCTGTATCACGGTGCGGTAGACGATGACGGGCGTGGCCAGCAGCACTGACCCTACCCAGATGCCTGCCAGCAGCCACCAGGCAACAGCCTTGGTGCGCAGCTTCTGGGACACGAAGGGGCGGGCCACGGCCAGCGAGCGGTCCAGACTCATGGCCGTGATGAGCAGGACGCTGGCGTACATGCTGACTCCGCAGACATAGTGAAACAGGCGGCAGGCGGCCACGCCAAAGGTCCAGGTGCCTCGGGCCACAGAGTGGAGGAAAAAGGGGGCGGTGAGCAATACGGCCAAGTCAGCCAGGGCCAAGTGCAGCACCAGCAGCGCAGTGACAGAGCGCTTTCGCATCTTTACCAGGATGCTCCACACCACAAAACTGTTGCCCGGGAGTCCCACAGCCAGAGCCACTGACAGTAGGGTGATAGTCATGACCCCTAGCGAGGAGGGTGCTGCAGAAGATGTAGTGTTCGTGGCCATGGCAAGGATCTGGAGGGTGAGGTGGACATGTGTATGAGGGTAAGGGTCCAAGGGGTTCCGGACACCTCGGACACACCTAACCTGAGCACTCTCGTCCTTCTCCAGATCAGCAGCAGATGCACCTTTGCAATATACTGCCCTCTCACCGCCAGCTGACCTGTCTTAGGGGACCTGGCCGAGTAGAAAGACTGATTTCCTAACTGAGCCGCAGGGCCCCTTCCTGCCCACAGACCCAATTGCAAAATACACAGCGACAACAGCGGTAGCATTTCTGAACCCTTTCTGCCTTCTTCCCTTTGGAGACCCTCAAACTCAGAGCCAAACTGGAGGGATTTCCTTACCAATGCTGCATCCCTTAAAAGGCTAACTCCTCTGTCCCTTGCCAGGTGCTAAGCCCCCTCAATCCCCCTGACGTCCTCCAATCCCCTACCCACTCTCCCCAAAGATGCTCAGGGTTCACCAGAAATAACAGGGATGGGAAGGAGTTCATGAAGAGGAGAGGCAAACAAATCCTCCCAAGTCCTTTTACCACTGGTCAGGCTCTCTTTGGAAATTCCTTTGCACCTTCTCTCGTGGCTGCACCCCACCCCTCCACCATCTCTCTTACTCCCATGATCCTTACTTACAGGCTTTGCTGGGTAGTGGTTGTAAGCTGGTGCCAATCCCAGGGTCGGAGCAGAATGGTGTAGCTTATCCCCAGATCTGTCTCAGTGCCAGGGGTCTGGCCCCAGGTCTGGGTGCCGTCAGCGAAGTCAGCCAGAGAGGAAGTACCACAGAGCAGGGGAGGGGGAAGACACATCTTCCTGAGGGTGGGGCTGAAACTCCTACCGGCCACTTTCACTAGGAGGAAGGATAGTCTTTGTGGTCCAGAAGAGGCAAGCAGAGAGGAGGACCCTTGGGGGGGCGGGGGGGGGG